AAAGTAAAAATGCCACACTTCTATAAGAGCATCATCTACTCACGGAACTGAAAAGTGACATAGTATGAAGAACTTTAACTAGTCTAGTCTTGAGTCTCAGCGGCAAAACTCACCATAAAAACAATGCAATGGAATCGTCCTGGGCATTTGCTGCACGTCTAATTCATTAATCTCATACGTAACATAATAATATGAGAATGGCACACTAACGCTCAATATGCACCATGAACATACTTCACATTAAATGAGTCTCTAAAACAGTATACTACAGTTCTAAAGTTTAATTGTAAGTAACAATGAAATCAAACTATCTAGAAGGAATCAACAAATTAAATAATACCCTCTCCAGCCACAAGTTAAGAAGAATTTCTAGTAATATACATATCAATAAATGTTGACAATGTGTCATCCTTTGATGTAAAAATAAACCCCAAATAAAGAAACATATCACATTTAAATACAGAATTTCTGGTCATCTGGCACTTCCCAACGGTAATCCCATTTTTCAAGGTACAAATTAACAATAAATACAAGTGACGAATTCTTTACACTTCTTTCAACACAAAAAAAAATACATGCAATTAGTTTTCATTGCAATACATGCAATGAACATCTACAAAATACTATTTCTAAAATGAAATACCACTCCATCTCTAGAAAACACAAAATGAAAATAATTTAAAACAGAAATTTAAATTTCCATTTCTCATTAAACATAAATAACGTTTGTTTTGACATTTGTATCAAAATTGTACACCATCAGTAGAAAATATAAACCAAAATAAAAGAACTATCCCACTCATTAAAAGTAAAAATCCTTTTTGTACCTATCTCTTAAAATATGTGCAATAGGTAAGTTTAGACATCCTGAACACACAATTGAACTCCTAAGTAATTATCTTAAAAAAATATATTTTATAGCACAACACTATTGCTGACAATAAATACTACTTCATTTTGCCCCATTGGAGTCAATAGTGAATGAAAGGATTACAAAATTAAAGATCAGTAAATGCACCACACACTATTATTGTATTAAATCCAAAAAAATACTTACAACATTTTCTCTGACAGTGTTGTGAAAGATTTGTTCCCGGGTATCCGGATCATCTTCCATCTTCACCTATTAGTCAATATATTCTCATATAAGTGTATTATGACAAACAGCCACATTTTCTTTTCACTGACTTCACTGAAGACGTTTATATTCAATGAAATGTGGCTCACACATTTGAACTTCTTTCATATTAATGACAACAAGAACTTCACCAAATGACCCATTACAGGCAATAACATTCGTACATCAGAATCAAGTCTGACAGACCGCCACCGACACACAACCACACGCGTCTCGAGCTTCCTCGGAGCAACTGCCATGCATTTACACAGGCGGGCAGACTAAAGCCCAGAGCTACATACGAACCACGAAGTCTGTAAGGTAGAAACTCAACTCCGGTAGTGGGTATATGTATGAAAAGTTGGGCAGTTAATCGGACTTACTTAACTTCAGCGACATCACGCGGGTAAAAAGAGAACCTTTAAAGACATTTTCGACCAATGGCAACCAACCTCATGTGTTGAGTCAACCCCATCTACATTTACTTACGAACACTAAAGAGTAGATGGCGTTGGTACGCCCGTCGTTATTGGACAAACAAAAAAGCTGAGAAAAGTTTGTTCATTCACCGCGTGATATCGCTGAAGCTAACTGAGTCCGACTAGATGCCGATGTTTCTCGTACATAACTATTCCGTTTTTTACTTACAGACTTCGTGATGAACACATGATTAATGCTGCCAACGTAACCAAAACCAATGTAGACAACATAATATTCGATCAGACTGAAATTCAAATATATGTACGTGTTTGTGAGCTTAGATCAGTAAAGAACGGTCACAAGAAAACATTAGAAAGCAGTTTTATATTATCGTTGATTTCCAAGGTTGCAAATTTTGTAAATCATATGTGAAAATAGTAATTCGTGTAACAAACAATAAAAAATGCTTCATTTCTGCACAGCAGTTTCTTGTTGACTGCTCTTCTTTTACGTCTAGAAGGTAGAGTCTGAGGGTTCTAAATATTCCCAAAGAAAAATTTTTTTGGGTTACAATCGAAGAAAAACGAAAATTTTGGGAACTAACGAGGCGACAATTCTGAATTGCTTGCGGCCTTGCGATCGCGCCCGATTTTAGGCCGTTTCAACCGTACTCTACCTCCAGGCCGTCTGAATTGCAATGCTCTCGCCGTTCGCAAATGACCCAAAAGCGGCTTCGAATCTTGGACATGCGCACAATGTTCTAGTAACATGCAGATTCCAAAGGAACTGGAAAATTATCATCGGGAGTCCTTTCCAAATCGACTTGTACACACTCAGCACAAGCTAGTATCTTTTTTCCCCTCTTTGGGAGGCGAGTAAGAATTTTTATAAATTACGGTACGAACTAAACTCTTCCCATTCTTAAGGGACACAATTTCAAGGACATTCTTTTTCCATTTAACAATCGCTCCTAGAAATTCAACGCGTGGAAGATATCAAGGGGTGAATGTTGTATTTTGAGGGGGGGGGGATTATTTTTGATTTTTCTTTTCATAACATGAAATAAAAAACGTACAAGAACATTAATAATACATACAATTTGCTTTGGGTATGATGGTAATTATTTTAAATAAATTAAGTAATTTTTTTAAATGCTGGTAGTGGGGGAAAGACATGGCTCCTTTGGATAAAACACTAATGTCCACCAGCAGAGCAATTATTTTGGACAGAATTCAATGTTATTCCTCAATACTAGTTGGGAAGATATATAAGTACCCCATGGACCTCAAAGATTTTTGTTTTGTATTTTCCCAGTTCTTCCAAATCACGATCACTGTCAAGACATGAAAGAATTTGTGTAAAATGTTATTTACTTAACATATCTTTGAAAACTCTTATTGTTTAATTTTTATCTTTAAATTTTTGTATTACGTGGTTAGATGAAAGTGTGGGCCTGATGGCCCAAGTCTCATCACATAAATTAAGTCACTATTATTATTACTACTGTCAAGATAATAATGACATATTTCTGAGAATTTGTATTTTTTTTTTCACTTGAAATAACATATTAAAAATTAATAGCACAGTATGGAAGAAAACATTATTATTGAAAGTTGGCTAGAAGTAAAAGAAAATGTCTGGGAATACTCCTTTGCGTTTCATGGGATATGCCCCCTCCCTCCCTGGATCCATCACTGTTTTTTGGAATGTCAAACATCCAGTGCGAAGTAAACAGTGCCGCTTCTCTTTTTGTAAGTAAAATGCTTCTTTATATGTTGTTGCTTAATTTTTACCCACCTCTTTCGGATCCTTAAAGAAGTTTCTAAAAGTTACATTTATAAATAATTTTAAAGAGACATGCTTTCATGACCCAATTACGGGGCCCTTTAATACACTTAAATATTAAAAATACAAAATAAGTGGATATGAAAATTGGTTATAACACTTGCATTTTAAAATATTTTACCATTTTGCTGAAAACAAATTGGGGGTAATAAGCATGTCTAGTTATACATTAGTCCACCTGCTTCTAAGATCAAAAACTCTCTCAAGTTTCCTCAAAGGAGAATTCTCCCTTACTTTACTTGTGCAAGAAGTTGGACTTTGGTTTCATTATTTTCATTCTTTTATTGTTTTGAAAATATGTTGCTCTCATATGGGCTTTTCTAAATTCCTCCTTTACAGTGTACATACTATTGTTTTTAACTTCACATTTTTTCCTTATGTAACTTTTTAATGTTTGTAAATGACTTTTCATATGTTGACTGCCACCTAAGAGAACAAGAATACTGCTGTGGCCTATGTAGTCTTTCAGCATTTGGATTTTCTCTGTTGATTTCAAAAAGGTTCCTTGACTTGTGGCCAAGACCAAATGGTATTTCTTGCTCTAGAAGCCATGAAGAAAATAACATGTGTCAACAAGTTGGGTGAAGATACTGTGGCCCCACGGAGTTGTTATGGGCATCCCCTGAACAAGACCGAGGTGGATGCACATGGCCATACTGCTTTTTAAAACGGAAAGCTGTGTTAGCATGAGGCAGTTAATATGAATAGAAAGTTTTGTAATTAATTTTTTTTTTTTTCACAAATATACCCTGCTGTATTTTTGTATTCATTAATTTTTTAACAATTGTAACACGTTCTAAACATTTTATTGAATTAATGTTATAGCTTTGCACATTTAAATAAACTTTGCAAGAAATAATTCTGTAACCAATGTTTCAATTGATCTAAAAATACTTTTCTCTAATAGCCTAGATTGTCTCGAGATTATACTCTCATGTAACAATAAAAAAATAGCATTAATGGTAGTGTTAAAGAGGGTTCAGGGACTCTCCTATGAAAGAATTTTAAAAAACTACCAATAAGGAATGCACATGATCCCATTGAAATATTTACATTATTTCAAGCAAAATGTGAACAAATTCGTTAAAAGTGTTCTCTTTTTACAATTTCTATTTACTTCATATTTAAACAATAAAAGTAAGAATAGATTTCAATGATATATTTCATTCTGATTTGAATACTAATAACCATTTATCATGCATTTAAGTGCCTCCAATTCCATCAACACACTCATTTTAATTACATCATATCGATGGCTTAGAATAATATACACATTGTATGTCCAAAATTCCTAGATACGAGAAAACCGATCTTAAAATTTTGAAAGGTTTAGTTACTTATTGAATATCAATATTTGCTTTCTGGGTAAAAGCATAATCCCTTTTATATGGACAATTTTTATACACTAAATAGGTATGAATGAGAGGTTTCCAAAACTGATATTACCTCAAAAATAGCCAAATGACGATACATTCTTTAAGCACAAAGCTATCGATATGTATTGGACAAGAAAAGAAGAGAAAAAAAATGGAGAGGGGGGAGGGAGTACTAACAACAGCACACTGTTCGCAACAACATGTTGGCCTGTCACTGAGTACAAGGAAATAAAAACACACTATTAATTTTGGCCAAATACTATATTCATTGTTATGTGACAATTGCATGAGCAGTATATTCTAAAAGCAATGTTTTAAAAATTTTAAAAAACTAATAACAATTCTTTTCAACAATTGTTTTCATTTCATAATAGACAATGTACATACAGTAATACAATGAATACACGGAATACATGCAATAAGTCCAGTGTATACTAGGCAAGGAATATGAATTGGAAAATTATTCTTCAATTAAAAGAGAGTGTACAATGACATTTGATCAGCTAAGATGTGGTTATCCAATCAGGAGTTTCAATTTAAAAAATTAAGTTCTAATAAATCTCCCAACTGAATAGCGTGTCCCAGCTGATGAAATATCAGTTTACCCTCTGCTTTAATCACAGTTTACAGCTCAGGTGTTTGAGATGTGAACAAAAATCGACTAGTATTGTAAAGCAGAGCAAAGTGTACTTGAGATATCTGAGTAGCTTTAACATGGTTTCACTAACAAAGCTCTCAGTTTATCTCCCCATACAACTTGGATGTAACCACAGGCTGATACTCAAGATACAATGTTCTTCTTTGTATTTGCACAATGATCTTATGTACAATTGAACAAAAATTTCAAAAAGGTAATTCTCATTTATCTCATTATGATACAAAGTCATGACAACTATACATATATTAAAACAACTGCCTTTTAAGGCACAATATAACTTCAAATAGACAAATGTAATTGTCAGACTAACAATGATAGACATAAAATTAAAATGGAGCAAAATAAGATTCAAAAGTGATCAATGTCATTCAAATTCAATGAAGCTATTCCTCTTGTTTACAATCAATATAAACAACCTAAAGATAGAAAAAAAATCTCAAAATACTTTTGTTAGTTTTGTTACAAAAATTAAACACGAAAATCTGTAACATTAATAGTGGTATAAATGTTTCATAATATGATTCAATTAACTCATCTGTCTATATTGCTTTCTAGAATAGTGTTTCTCATCCTTTCTCTCCTGAACTTTTATTTCCGCTTTCAAATTTATTTTTTTCCTGGTAGATCACAACCTGCTGCAAGTATATACTTCATTAGCTTGGTAATTAGAGTATGTTTTATTGCCAATTTTTGAGATATTTGAGAAAATACATTTACATAAAAAACCTACTTTAATTATTTCACAGTCAGTAGGAATTCAACTTCCAGAAATAAAAAAAAAAAATTCTGCAAGAAGTTCTCTTGATAAGAAAAGTAACAAAATTTCACCTCAATTTACTGAAAATATGAGATTGTGAAAGATACAATTTACCCACACCTTTCAGTTATCCACATTTGTTGCATTATCTACAGTGAACTGATGAAGAAATATCTTGAGAAGAAGACTGAAAAAGTAGTACCAATGTCTATAAGAAATATCTCGCTTTGCTTTCCATCACACTCACTCTAATTTTATTTTCTCCAGAGACTTACAAATAAACCTAATTTAAAAACGCCGTCCAGATGAGAAAGTTTGTTGTAGAGGGCATTTCAATTTACCAAAATACACTGAATATTCCAGCAATTTTTTTGTAAGAAAGTCTGCAATAACATTGTTCAATACACAAGTGAAACTTCATTCATAATAAGCATTGTAATATACAAAGGCATAACTTGTATACATACATAGGCATAACAAGAAGTCTACAATGGAGAGAAACAAAATGATATAGTTAAAAAAAAATTAAAATTTTCATTCCACTATTAATTTTGTTTCATACTCTGCAAGAAAGCATACATAGCAAATTCATTAAGGGTCAACAGTAAATTATCACCGACTGACATTCCAGCCCTCTACAACAACCTTACGGAAGTTTTCACTGAAGTTTCAGTGAAACATTATAACTAAAACTAAACCAGAGCCCAAAACCTGCTGTCCAGAGTCGAAAAACTGATCATGGGCATTTCTCTCACTCACATGATTTGGAGCCACATGTGGGGGCTTCAAAAACACGTTTGGAGATCATTTTATAGAAAGCAATGCAGGTTTTTTTCCTATCCATTTCTTTCCTTTCCTACCCCACTAATACTTGAATGATAATGATATTAGTATATTTCAGTCGAATTCATCACTTTTTTGATAGCGAAATAAGTGTGTAGAGCAATTTTAATCATAATAATACATATTTCATGTCAAATGACACTTATGTCCATAATTTCACATAAATACATAAATAAATGTGACAACTCAAACTCACAAAATCAGGGGGTCTCCCTTTGTTAAACCAATGTATATATGTGATCTCAAATAGTAAATGTATTTAAAACATAATTCTGACAAGACTGTCCATTGTTTACCCAATGTTGTTTCATAAAAATATACACTGGCATTATTTAGAAAAGTAATATACTGTACTTCACATTACTTATATTAATACAAAATGAACAATGGAGTGTAATGTCAACTTTGAGCAATCAAGGTGAAGATGCATATTGAAGGGGAAAAATACTACTGTCCTGTGAAATAAATCTTACTATTTTCAAACTCTGATCAGTTATTGTAATTACAAAGTCGTATTATAAAACTGTGTTTTTAATCAAAGACAAAACTAACATTATCCCACAACACATTTTAGTTGAATTCTGTTTGCAACCAGATACAAATTATTCTATAGCAATTTGAATTGTAGTGTTCTCACTTGTAGTATTCACTGAAATTGGTATTGGCAAGCTACCACTGCCTGGATTCACTTACATGGAAACTCTGAACATTAAATTCACCAAAAGTACATTGATGAACAGTGAATCTATTACAAACTAGTATTGATTTTTTAAACCATATGCAATTACAAAAGAATTTTATAAATTTACACATGTCTTAAATACGTGAACTAAAAGCAATTTTCAAACAGACTAAACACATAATTGAACCCCACTCTTGAATTAGTACATTTTAAACTTATCAATGAATAACTATTACTGAAAGAAGAAAAATTTGAGACTTCTTTCAGAGCTAAACTAATCGTTTATTATCAATTATACAGTACACTAATTTCTGAGCATGAAAAATTTGCAATTAACAGATTCCTAACTCTCCTTAAAATAACTATTATCGTGGAGGAAGACTACTCTTCACATAACACAAGGTCAATAAACATTTTTGATTATGAAATAATGAAGTGACCAGAATTTTATATCTTCAAGAAAAATACATACAAAACATTTGAAATAACACATTCAATTATATTAATCAGCAATACATCAATTAGATAACTGAACATACAAAAAGATCAACAAATCCTATAAAAAATTAAAAATTGTGAATTCTTTTAGATATTTAAATTGTGGTGATAAAAAAAATCTTTCAATACATTATACTTTAAGATTTATTTAGACATTCAACTTTAATCACAGGAAGAAATTTTCCAATACATATATAAAAAGGTATCAAACAGTTTCAAAAAACTTGTTTAAACTGTTTCACCAACTTCCTTTAAACATATATTGAAACTGATTACGACTGTGACCTACTCCATAGAAACTTCTGAAATCCAGAGAAGGGGAAATTATTAAGCATTCGGAAGTATAAAAAAATTGCTGAAGTAATTTCACAAATGTGACAAACTAGGCCCTAGAGGGCCTGTTGAAACATGACTACCTCACACAAAAGAAATCAGATCATATTACATCATAACAAGAGGGATTCTTGTATATGTTTCTAGAAAATGAATTTACTCCTCCAAAGAATTCCTAAACTACTATTGCAAGCACTAATCAACCAATTACACAAGAAATCTTATGTTTTGCTTCTTCATTCTTTGCCTTTGCTGAGAAGAATAATTTAAAATCAGGCCAAAAATGTCTTAAAAACAACAAACAATTTGCAAAAAGTTAGGAGTTGCAAAACAATCTTTAAAAATTAACGGGTGGTGGTTGCCAACTTCCATGGCTTCTGGAATCACACCAATGTATCAACGAAACCATGTTGCACGAAATTATAATTATTATTGTTCTTACTATCATCATAATTTTATCATATATTCTACAAAGAACACATGCCTATTCCCATAGAAAATTCAGAGGGGGTGCTATCAATTGCTGACATTTCAGCACAATAACAAATCAGGAAATTACCTCCAGGAAATTATTAGCACTGTATCCCTCTCTCATATGCAACATTATTGCATCAAATTCTTGCAGCAAATGGTTCATTTACATAGAGAACGTTAATGTTAACAAACTGATTTAGTTTTCAATTCTGTAGTATTAATAGTGATATGTTTGATCAAAAGACACATTTTTATACATTATCACAAGTTTGAAGACTCCCTGGTACTTTCATCGAAAATAAGCTATTGAAATACTCTCTTTGAAGGGCACCTTGCCTTTGCATCGGAAAATTTTAAAAAATAATTTCTTTAAACAATTTTCAAAAGTGACATGTTAGGTTAACCGGATGAATGATTTTGTATTTACTTCACTAAATTACAATATGTATTGAACACGTTAACATTACAAATACAAAAGAGGTTGAATGAACATGATGAATTCTAACACTATTTCCACAACATTAAAAATTTTAGATTGAATATTTTTGCACTCAAAAATACTTCTTTGCGTTGAACTTCATCGTAGTTCAAATGATTGAATGCCCAAACTTTTAAATCCCCTCAAACTATCATCCATCACCAACATTACTTTCCCCTCTAAACACAATGCTCAGGTATCCCAGGGAGAAAGAAAGAAAAAAAAAAGAGAGAACAGTTCCCATGATACCTGTTTGTGTACGATTTGCAATTAATACAAAAAATTAACTAAGAAGTTAACCTTCTCTTCTACAATAAAAAAGCATGTAAGGATATTCTGAAATTAACAAAATTAATATAATATGAATCTTATTTTAACTTTCTCGCATAATATTTATGCATTAACTGATAATTCATTTGGAACACTGTTTTCACTTTTCCACTTCATTTTTATCTTCCATTTTCAATTCAAATACTTAACACTGGCAACATGATTTCAGTAGATTAGTATTAATAATCCGATAATACTAAGATTTCGTACATACCAGTAATGAAATTTTCAACTTTCTTAATGTTTAACACAATAGGAAGGTATTAAGTCAAGGAACCCATATGGACATTTTCACCACTTTCAAGTCAACACAAGCAAAATATGGTGACAATTCCTTTGAACTTGTATAGAAGAAACATCAGAATTAATAACATTATACACAAAGATAATTTACTTCACACTTTGTCTGAGGTATTATTTTAAATCATGTATATTACAGGAATAACTATCAGAAATGTAAGTACTTAAATAGCATAATCAGAAAATAGTGCAATTACAATAATTTTGAAATTCATCGCTGCTAGGATACTGAATAGTAAATTGGAATTTATTATTTCAAAAGAAATGAAATATCACTTACTTAATAGCTTTACATCCCGATTTGTTCTCAGTAATGTCAATCAGTAAGTTCACTCAACAAGTTGTTCTTGGGTGTGGTATAATACTAGTTGTGTACATTAAAATCTGTCCGTAACTTCTTACAAGAAAAACATACAGAAATTGAACAGAGTAACTACTCACTTTCTAGGACAAATTTCCCAACTTTTTTCAACAATTTATAATTTTTGTTCCAAAATAAGATTTGTAGAGTATTTCACACAAATTTAACAAAACTTTAAATTGAAGCAAAACATGAGAACCTATTTGTCAACTCTGGTATTGACATAAGAACCAATTAACAAACCATTACTTCACAAGTAAAAACTCGCCAAAAATAATGTTGTCTTAATGTAAATAATATTTTGTTCTAGTTTTGCCAAAAAAATTCCTATATTTCAAACAAATAATTCAAATTATTTGAATTTTTCTGGTCAATGAAATTCCCCCACTTTCATGGTTTTCCAAAAAGTGGCTATCCGGTTAAAAGATGATGTGCAATGTGACTTTCGATTTTTCAAAAACCTCTTCAAAACTTGCTAGTGGAAAAAGAAATATTATTCTACTAGTGTACATGATTAAATCACAGTATCACAGCTTTGCAATACTTTTAAAACCAAGATGTGTAGCATTTCACAGAAATACCTTAAACTTCTGATAAACAGAGAAAAAGGATTAAAAAAAAAAAAAACAACAACTCAAAATATACAGAATTGGAACTTTATAGAAACTAGTAAATATGTTGATAAACGAGTTCATGGTTCTGGCAGTATTATATATTGCTAATAATTACAATTAATATCCCCATTTCAACATGATCAAATTTGAAATTTATGAACTTTAATACAAATGACTAGCAACTCTCAAGTTTCATCTAAAATCACCATGCGTCTTTATATACATACATGCTATGCCAACAGAAACAGAATTTCAGTACAGTATAAAGATAAAATGTAAGTTAAAAAAAGGGTTCTTGAAATGAGGACACAAGACACTTAATAGTGCAGGTACTTTGTAGTGAATTTAAATTTAATTTTGCGCTGAGGGCAAGCCCTTTGCATCTACTATTCGGTCTACCTTAACTTGAAATTATTAAGCGAACAGGCTAAAACAGCCTCTCAAAATTGCCAACAACGGATAAGATGTTGGGATTTTTTTATATCCTATAAGTCTATTCCATTAGCCTTTACTTTTACTTGCACAGTAAAATGAGAGAGAAATTTCCATCCAAGTCACTTGACCCTAGCCAACAATTAAATTGTGACTTGACTCAAGTTCACATAAATAGTTCTTTCACATTAGGGCTTTTCTAGCAATGAATAATAAAATAATATTTCTAGTACTTAATGACTGGATGGATTAATCTGTAATGTGTACAATCCATAACTTTTACAGAAATAACATCATCCAACTCTTGTAATAACTAACAAAAAAAGGTAATGAGTAATATAAATTATAATAGATGACCCTTAAACAATAACCACCTATTTGAAATCAAAAGATACTAATCTAAGATTCCTATTAATTTCTTATTTTGCATTCTTTATGCATATGTACAGTATGAGCAGCGCTGATTATAAATATGTCATTACCAATGATAAAACTGTAACCCCCAAATGACAAATAATTCATACATACAATAGTATTATCGAGATGAACACATTTTTTTCTAAGCCCAATGAAAAAATACCACAGTTTAAGAAGGATTTGTTTACACAATTTACAAAATAAATTAAGGAATTGTTTACAAGAATTTGCAAGCTAGCCTTTTCTACAAAGTAAGAAGAAAAAAAAATTAAAAAATGGACATTTAGAAGTGGCTCAACCCATTTTAATTATGGCTCAAAACTGTATGCTTTACTTGAAGTTTTCAACTAAACTTGCCACTGAACAATCTACAGAATGTGGAAGAATGTTGTTTGGCTGTGATTATTTTCTTAAAACTTGCCTCTTGCAGTGAAGATAAGCTAGTTATCACACAAACATTTCAGATATTTGTTTGTCTGTAATTCATAAAATATTATTGGCCAAAATGCTCCTAAAAACAGGATACAATGGGCAAATATATTTTGTATCATATTCTAAATGTTAATGGTAAAAATGTATTTTCTAAATATATATGCAGCATATCTATACACACAAACTGAGGAAAATGGTGAACACATTATTCTTTGGATAGTTATCTACCAATTACTAAATGCAGAATGTAACCAATGCTAATAAATTATCTGGAAGGCATATCTTTTAAAGAAACTGTCAGACAGCACAAGAGTAAAAAGGATCTATACTTTTTGTTTCAAGTACTGCTCCAGTTGTACCAAAATACATTTACCCGCAAATGTGATATGACTCTTTAATCACTCAAGATCACAGAAAAATGTATTTATCATTATGCATTCCACATTTCCCCACACTGGATACCACAGAAAAACTGTAGTAAGTGTCCATGAAATTCAGGAAAACATTAACATTCTTTAATATAAACAATAAATCAGAGATATGTGAAAAATTTCACTTTTGGTAAATATTCATGTTATTTCAACAATTTATGTACTGGAACGTTCTTCCCGGCAGAAGATGAAGTTTCTGCCATTACTCTCAAATATTGGTCCATGAGCGAACATAAATGTATTCAAATTTCAGTTTCCAAAAAATATTCCAGTTTTCCAAAAAATTAAAAAATGTATATATTTTAAATTTAATTTCAAATTTATAAAGTAAAAAGAGATCCTAAACTTTATGAACACCCTCTCCCATAATCACACTACAAAAACATAAAACAAACAATATTTCTTAAATGTACAATTGAAGAATAAATTAATCAAAATATACCAATATAAATATAACCAATACAATTGTAAAGAGCCTCTAACAATGAAAAATCGAGCTTTACGAAATATTAAAAGAAAAACGAGATAATATAAATAATTACAATATATGTGCCTAAAAATATATATCACATTATGATGCAGTCTCTCCAAATGTTTTGTGACCTGTTGCTTTTGCATGCTGCTGAGCCTCTACCTGACCAACAAGCATTTCTTGACAGACAAGGCACTTGAGGGAAAAGCGATGAACATCAGTGTATTGTCGACTTGATTTCGCCTCCAGAGCCAATTGTTCTGCTTCTTGCAAAATTCGTTCATCTGTTGTGAGGAAAATGGTTTGCACACTGCCTCCCTACAATAAAAAGTTACATCAACTACAATCTAAACTTTCAATAATATAATACAAAGATTCACATATAAAAAAAATCACATGAATATCCAGCAAACAAAAGAAAAATATTTAACAAAAAACCTGAGACTACCTTTCAGACGTAATTTACATTAACTAGGTCATTCCATTAGTGGAAAGATACTGAGAAAGAGTAGGAACACATTTATAGTGGTTTTTAGCATAAACATGTATTGGTGAGATTCAAGGTTATTCTCTATACATTATGAAGATAAAAGGCCATGAGCATTCAGCCATGCCAATAAGCATTGCGAGTCAAATGTATTTTGGCTGTAGATCTTTGACAAAAAATTTGAAGGAACGAAGCAAATTTCAAAACCATAGATATTTTGGGTTAAATTACTGTACACAACAAAAAAAGTATTGCATCGTCAATTAGACTGTCAATGTTAAACTACTGCTTCAGCAATAATGATTTTATTAAGAATAAAAGATAATCAAAAGTGACATTATCAGTTAGACAAAATGCTATTTCTATAATATTAATAAACAATCAGTGTGACATCAATGTACTTGTTTGAATTCTCATTCTTTCTCCCTTTTTTTTTAAGGGTTATTAGATATGGAAAATTTGAGCTACCTACACAAGTTTGAAGTTTCAGGAAACAACTCTTTTAGTAAGCCAGTTCTTTAAAATTTTCAAAAAAATTCACAAAGCTGTCGGAGAATAGTTTGACATCTATTTACATTCCTTTTATTTTACCTTTTCCAAAGAGAATGTTCTAATCTATATTCTAATAATAGAACGTTTGAGAAAATTCTTTCAATTTCTTACAATTTAAATAGAGATTATGTCACTCACCAATAATGCAACAGAAATTCACGAGTTTCAATGATTGGACAATTTTCCAAATCATGCAACACAAACATTTTTCGAACATTCCAATCATTCTTAAGCCAACTTACCTCAAATGGCTCTAGATATAGAGGATCATAATGAATCCCATCAAAAACAAGGAACACTCGTTGTGCATATCGTTGATCTTCCCCAAATCTGTTTATAATAGCATTCAATGTGTCCACTACAGCTATTTCAATCCCATAAAACTGAGAAAGAACAGCTAATTCTATGGCACCACCCCATGAGTCAGGTTTTAGAATCCACTCACAATATGAATGGTTTGGTTGTCCTAGAATTGCTTCAGAATACGTTCCAGAATCACCAGCAACTGTTTCTGCTATAATCTGCCGCATGAATGGGGCACAAGTTGGATCCACTTTTCCTGAAACCCAGTCTCATTTATTCTTAACACTCCATATACAAAACATACTTGAAATAAGCATACACTACACTCACCTCCAAGAACAAAACCAATACTGGTAAATAAGCATGAATTATCCGCTGGCACAACTTTTCTCATAAGGATCCCCGGTCTCTCTAATTGACTTTCTTGAATATGAATTCTTCTTTCCATCTGGGGTGCTGTCGATTCTTTATCGGTTTGTTTCTCCTCCCCGGGATTATCTCGTTCCTCTATAATAAGAGTATCACCCGAGGTAATTCCAATTGCTTCCAGTGTAATATCGGACTGTTTTAAATCAAGAGGTTTCGGTGGAAATCCTGACAGAACATGAAGGGCCTTCTCCCTGATATTTGTTAAGGATGACAGTTTCCCCTTCAATTCCGCCACAGTGCTTTGTGGCGTCAACCCCTTTATCACCGTTTGCCCCGATTTACTTTTCATCCGTAAGGCAAATCCAGCCATCGTAACCTTTTATTTTAAATGTCTTATTCACAAAAACATAAAACACAGGAACCACTGGTGCATTACAACATAGGGTCAGAAGGGGACGATATCACTGAGCTATAAGAAACGGACAAAGAACAGCGAGCAAGTTCAACTAACCCAACTCTGCACAACGCATCCATAAACAAGAACAACAACCTCATTTCATGTCCTTCATTGGACGCTAGGACAGGTGTTGGTTATATCGGAATGGCCAACTTACAAGATCCATGACAAATATATGTGCATATTCAATTTTTACATCAGGAATAAATATGAACTGAAAATAAGCAACACTATCAGAATAAAGACATAACAATTACACATTAATTTACTTCGAAATTAACAAATAAAACAATTACCATCAGCCATTTCGGAATGTCTTGGAAAGATGCTGATAACGACAAATTTCAAAATTATCTAATTTCAATTTTACAGAAATTATATCTTTCCTGAGGTTACATATACATAATACAACGATCAAAAGACTTATAATTTTATTGCCCATGCTGCAAGAATGAGTCTTTAAATTTCATTGTTGGTACATATTCTGGATTCCTCGACTTTCTTCGATATAACCAATCAGTGTTTCAAAATTTCGAGATATCGAGACATCACGGTACGCATTTTATTCAAAGCCTCATATGTACTATGATGATCATCCATCACGAATTGCATTATTCTAAAATATCACGAAGGCTATAAATCTTTCTAGTCTCCATTAATTAAACACCATTCGTATTATTCGTACACGTTTCTGACACTGTCTAAGGAGACAGAGATAACACAATGACTAAAAAAATATTTTTAAACAAACAATTGATTATGGAAAAGCATACTTTCAGAGACTATACTACTTAATTCGCCCGTTAGTTCAGTTGGTATGTATATTTTACCAGGAAAAAGATCATAAAAACATTTTCTTTGAGTATGTTGTATTATATCCGCACGTTTTCTTGAGCCCCAAAAAATCTACCCCACTCTTTTCAGGCGGTTGAATTAAGAATAAATGATAGCAATGAGCGCAGAAGAAAAAATGTGGTAACGAGAAATGTTCACTCGCTCATGTTTATGAAATTTTAATCAACCTATAAATAATAATTGCATCTAATACTATTATTTATCTCATCGTCGGTGTTAACATTGCCTCATAAATGTATTGTTTTCTCGCGATATTGTTAATGGTTATATTATAAAACAATTATGATAATATGATGTTATGTGAGATGACAATTATTATAATATGACAATTTCTGTCTTACACTTCACCTACCATTTGAAATATTCGAAAAGAAACTAAGCGCGAATACTACATTGTATTATTCAAACGTTTAAACGAAAATAGCTTTCTGCCATTTTGTTCGGTGTATTTTTGTACATGAAAGTACCAACGATGCGTATTTGAGCCGTGTATAGAATTATTACGGCCGCCAGGTCATATTGACATCTGTTACACTCTTTTAGAATCACCGCCTGACAATGAGAAATTATTCTGCGAACTTCACGCCGAATCGTGACGTTCCTATTGTTAAATTGCAACTTCATAATCCGAGTGGCCAGATAGCTGAAAAGTGAATATCAAATTATTGTTCTGTTGTATACTAAATCAAACATGGTATCAGGGTTGCCACCTCTCCGGGTTTGACCCGGAGACTCAGGGTTTCATAGACAATCTCCGGGCTCCGGGTTACTGTTGAAAATCTCCGGGTAATATACAAAATGTAATACTTGTGGTATGATTTCGAAAAGAGTCCTTATAAATATTTCACAGTGCTTAATTTGAAAACGGGGATTTCTCATATGACAAAGTTGTAGCAGGTGGTAACAGAAATCAATTTTAAGTAGATTTAGACAACATTGTATGGAGTTGCAATTGTGACACCGTTTTTTGCTGATTGTGTCAATATTGATTTGCCAACATCATCAAATGGGTGAAATTTTCTCATTGAATCTATTAATGAGCTCCGAAGATTTGTGCAACTGTCTTATCGATTCAGTAGAGAACAGGTTTCGTGAACCCGCCGTATTTTCTATGATGGGGAATTATGGACCGATAATAGAAACAGATGAGGGAGAATTGACAAGCGGAGCTGTTGACTAAGTAAATTATGAAATGACATGCCGGGGACATTTTGTCAAGAGTCCGTTAGTACAAGACCAGCTAATCGAATAGGTGCTAAAGAAAGCGTGTAAATGAAAATATAGATTGGAAATAGATAGGAAAACGGTAATTTGGTGATTAGTGAGAATATGATTTTGTGGATGAACCGCAATATATTAATTGTTTGTAGTAATTAATGTGTTATTAACTTATAAAATGTTTATTATTAAATTAATCCGTAAAGAGTCTGCATTTTTTATAATAAATGTTGATTCTGTATTTGACTTTTACTTTATGACCTTACCTCCACGGTACAATATCTACGGGTGGCTTCATTCGAAAGTGGCAACCTACATGGTATCTTGTGTAAACCATTTTATTTTTGCTAAAGACAAATAATTAAGCCTTTTTACCTTTGCAGAGGTCACAATAAGGAGGAGACTAAAAATCCGCCAATGTACAAAAAATACCCGAGTTTCCAGAGAATGTCAGGAGCGGTTTACAATATACATTAACTACAAAGTTTGCTACTACAGTAGATTTCAGAGATGGGCCTCGTGGCTTACATATCTATATCCGCAACCCCTTTCTCCGCACTTACAGGTTAAAACACTCCATAACATAACAGAAAGCTTTACCGTCACGCGAAAATAGAGTAATCGTTCAATTTCCGTTCCGCCTCGTAAACCCGTTAAATGAATACGAGAAAAACCATAAAATGCCGCAAATCCTTAACACCGTCTACAACCTCAGTTCCAAACTAAAAGTCATCACAACTCAGTTCAGAAACTTAATCCTCTCACCACCGATATTCAAGATCCCTCCCCCGAACACTAGGAAAAAATCTCGACATCCTTAACTCCCTCCTATAACTAGAAAGGGTGGAAAAAAAGAACGACTAAAGACGACAGACTGAAATATGCGTGAACGGAAACAACCCTAAATATTCCAATCTCTCCTATATACTATCCATTCCATCCTAAATCCATCATCTCTTTCCCACCTAAAAAAACCTACTTCACTTCTTCTCGGCCCCATCCGTCTGTAAGGGGGAGAGGGGTCGGAACAATAGCCAGAACCAGACGAGAAATAAAACATGGCGAAGAAGTTAGACCGGCGTACTAACAAACAAACTAAGATCTTTTCTGTCTGTCGTCGAGAGGAGTAGGTGCTCTATCGTAGTCTACCTCTCTGCGAAGGGTTTCTTTTAAATTCTACATGCAAATTTGAAACTACCGCCCTTTCATCAATTAGCAGAGAAAGGAGGTATTTCTTGGCGAGAGCCGCCCGATTTGACTTTAGCTTCAGAGGGGTTCATTTAGGGTTTGAGGATTTTTTACTGAAGCAATGTATAAAATGGACAGCCGGATTACTTCCTCCGAAGGAAGGATTTTTTGCTTAAAATCAGGATTTGTCGGGTGCTTTGTATCGCGACATTGGGTACAACAGTCCGGTACGCTAACCGTTACACCATCGCCGCCGCCGTGGTGTTGCTGGTTGGACGCTCCGTGCTGTTGTTGCTGCTGACTCTGCTCGGCAGGTTGCTGGTTCTGTGGCGGCAGCGTAACTACGAGACTCCCATTCTGAAATTTAACACTCTGAATTATGATCAGGTTCAGTTTCCGTTGTGGTTCGTCTATTTCTGGAATCTCGAAAGTTCGGTGTCTGATGTGTTCTTGGTGTCCTCAGACTACCTTCTCATAGTATTTTGCGCGGTACCTATTTTGGGTCTTCCCTTAAACTTCTATTGAGCACCTGACAACCTACTACATATTTCCGGTCGAACTACTATTTTCTACTTACATCCGTTGGATGGAATAAAGATATCAGCGTCCTTGGTTGCCGGCCGTGTAATTTCTGTGCTGGCTTCATTCCGCCTCTTCACGGCATGGCCCTGTATGATGCCAGCAACAATAGAACTCCCTATTTCCTAACGATTCCTTCATTTCTTGTCTTTGTCGTAGCTGATTCAAACGTTTGAACGAAGCTCTTTGCTTCACCGTTCAAGCGGGGGTGATATGGGGATGCAAAAATATGTTTGATGCCAGTACTGTAGCAAATTTCTCAAATACTTCAGACGTAAACTGAGGGCCATTATCTGACATAATTGCCGTGAACGATCCTTCGACGCTGCAAATTCTCTGAAGAACCCTAACATCCTATGCCGTCGAGTTTCTCATTTCCGTCACATACGGGAAATTAGTCTGCGGGTCTGTCACTGTGAGTCACGTTGATCCCTGGAAGGAGCCTGCAAAGTCTGTTCCACCGCCTCCTAGTTCCGACCCATTGCTGTCGGGGATTCTTTTGATACGAGTAGCAGCGTTGACACACTCTGACCATTTTCTCGATGAGGCGTTCTATACCTGGCCAACAGAAATGTTGTGTGGCTAATTGCTTTTCACTTCAAGCAAAGTTCTTAACTTCACTTCCCAGGCTAACTGGCACCACCACTCTAACACTTGTCTGTACTCAGGAGAAAAAACACTTGCTTTTGTAGATAAGCATTCTTGAAGCTTGAAGAATGGTACTTTTTGATCTGGGCTGTCCGGGTGATGCCGCGTTGATGACTGAGGTACCGACGTTTCGACCGACATATCGCGTTCTTCTTCAGGGCTGTACTGCGCAAGGATGTTGGGCGCTCTGGTTTATATAGAGGTGGGCCAGGCGATAGGCCGTGGTGACGGCCAATCGGGCGCGACTGGGTGGACTCCTTTCATGCTCCATTCATATAATTCATTTTTAGTTGTATATTTTCTTTATTGATTTAGTTGAATGTGTGGGAACCAAAAAATTGACTTTTGAATTTTCGAAAATTCAAAGGTAACGATGACAATCGAACCTGTGTCATCTTTCTAAATGTATTTTACAATCTGTTGAGAAATTTAAAATAAAAATGTAAGCCATTTTTGAGAAAATTTTTAAAATCTAGAAATTTGTGATTTTATTATTTCATTTTCAATGGTGGAATAAAACATTTTTTTTGTGGTGTTAATAGGAAATGTATGTGGAAATTAGTACATTAACTAGTTCTCTATAACTTCATTTATTGAAATAGTACACAAAAATAAGCATACAATTCTACTTAAAATGTATATTAAAATCGGCTTTATATTTTTAATAAAACATACATATCATATGTACAGTAACATAGATTATTCTGAAATTGCACCAGTAGTTCATCCACCATGAAAATTTTCACAATTTGGCCACCAAGTGAAATGGCATTTATAATCAGCAACCTGTAAATAAAACACATTATTCAACATTAAAGCATAACGGACCCAAGAAACTAAAAAGGAAAGAAGACACAATGAAAATTTAAAAAAATGTACAAGAGATAAAGCACATACTTTATCATATTATTTATAATTTGTTTGGGTGTTATTGTGAGAATGGCACCACAATCCAAAGACGGCCGTTACGTTTCCTCAGACCCTTCAAATATTCGTAGTGATACCGATCAAGATATTGGGGGTCGAAAACGGAGGAGGAACGTTGGACAAATTTGAAACCCCTTGGCTTAGTGTCACTTCCGAACGGATGACCCATCCACAACACGAAGGTGATAAGTTTACAATCCTAGTCATATTTCAACTACGAGTAATGATCAACTAGGTGAGTCGGTGGGGTCTAGACAGAAAAAAGAACATCTTTTTAGAAAGAGTTGATACTGTGGGATGTTACTACGTGAAATTGAGAAGGCATGAAAGCTTCTTTTAATGAAGTCACATGATTCAGTAGAAGAAAAAGTCATTACAGTTCTCCGCCACATTTGGTGAAAAGGGACAATTTGACCATAAATGGGACAGGCGGAATAGAGCAGAATTTAACCGCTTAGAGATCCAATTCGATTCAATAAAGGTCGGAGAAATGGCGGTGGCCCAATTTTCTATGGAGTCTTTTGTAGTTGTGATTTGCTCTTTCACAGGAGATCAAGAGAAGCTGCAAAATGTTACTTTAGATCAATTGGAATTTTGAAGGTTATCTGAACAAATGCTGGAGCGTCATAGTTTGCTCAAAAGAAAATGTAGCTCTCAGAAAACAACAGGAACGCACACAAATTCTTAGGTTAACAATGTTGGTCATCGTACCGATGGATCGCGGGCTCGGGTCTCGCCTCGGGCATGGTTGTATTTGTGGTCGTCCTTTCACCTCCTATCATCACCATATCATGTCATATTTACAGTTACCATACTGTTAAATGCAATAGTGGTCTATATGATCTAGATGTTGATGCGACCTTAAATAACAAAAAACAAGTTGGTCAGTTAATTTCTTCATAACATAATAGAATAAAGCAAAATGCACAATGTGTAAATCAACACCAATGAAAACTAGTATTCAATAAATTATTTATTACATGTTATAATATTATTAATTAATATTATATTGTATTATTACATCACATTGAAAATATTTCTATTGATTTAGCATTCAGAGAGTAATGGCAAAAATAATTATGTGATGTTCATCCTTGTTTTCTCATATTGATCGGTGTTGATTTTTCTTACTAAAGTATTATAAATTGTTAAAGTGGTTTATTAATAACTGTTTTAAGTTAATTGTTTGATTAAATATTCAAGGTACCATATGATGCTCCACTGTGGCTTCAAGTGGAATGATACTGTAAATGTTTAGTGTTGTGTTTTAGCAGCACGTCAGTGTGACGAAATGAAAAATTATTCACACAATGATTCTCCGAATATGTTCAGAAATCACATTTAATTGGATTATAAAAATATATGGCAAAAAAAGTTCTTAGCATATATCGTTTAACTTCTAAGATGATTTCTGAAAAATGACATTTTTGAACCCGTCTGTCCCATTACCATTATCTCTCAAACTACTAAAGTGAAAAGGTTCAATTTTTTGCAGGTCAATTAAATAAAAATGAATTTATAGAAGCAAAAAAGGTCAGTAAGTTTCATACGATTTCTACATAAACAGTAGAGAAAAAATTATGTAAACATTGGAATTTTGATTTCAAATATGCTGTAAATTACATAAACTATTCAAAAAACGTAAATCTGGTTGTAATATTTCAAATATTTCCTTCAATCTGCTCCTAAAATTTTACACTACTAGGTTGAATAGTTTCTTAAATAATGGGTTAAATTGCAAAGCCAAATTAATATGGGTGAGATAAGGCTTGACGGTTCTCCTAAAATTTCTCTTAGCACTTTAGCAAAGTTTCAGTTATCAAGTAAGAGCCAAGGCCAGAGGCAAGAGCCCTTGGTTCCACGGAGCAAATATAAGATAGGTCATTGTTTAAGGTAAATAGACTACACTCCTAAAAATCCGCTACTTATGAAAATGCACATTTAATTTTCAAAGATAAATAAACACATTAAAGGCTCAAAAACGTTTGGTCTAATTAAAAGCCAATGCATGATGGACACTTGCAAGATGCCGAGTCTTTCATGATTACCACCCATCACATAGTTAAACTACATGCAGTATTATTACATATTGGGAATGTTGATATATACTTGTTTGAACAAATCAATTACTTTTTAAATCAGGCAGTAGTAAAATGGTAAATATAACAGTAACAAATTTTTAAAAAATGAATACACGACTTACCACAACTTTGTCAAAAAAAAATGGTGATCAGACTTGTTCATTTCTCCAATTTTTCATATAGCCTTCCTGGTAAGGTCTTCTACGACCTCTTTGCCAAGACCCCTGATATCGTGTATTAGAAGTATTGGGTATTAGAAGTATATCTTGTTCTTTCATATAATCAAGAGCCAATTTTGCAACAGCTTCTTCCACTTCGGATGAATCGGAATGTATTTTATAATAAGTAGTATCTCTCACTTTCAGCTACAAAAGCAAATGACAAATTAATTGAGTATCATCTAATAACATTCATAACATATCCTAATTAGTAATTAGGATCATTGTTTTATATTATATTGTTTTCTAATTTCGTCTTTGGAAATGTTCACCTGAATACATACCATATATATTTCGGAGGTGTGCAGTAAGAAAATATTTCTCATACTATGATTTCAAAATACAAGCTGGCCACAACACAATACTGGCATACTGCCAACTACACGCTAAAACCAACCGTATTGACGTAAGGGTTTCGTTGCATTGAAATGTAAAGGGACGTGCTAGTACATCTCGAGGGTGCGAAGGTATGAGGGATGTTGAGTCCTCAATGCAAATGCTGGGGGAGAAGCGTAATGGACGACAGGAGAAGTGTCAATGTTGAAGGAACTTGAAAGTGCCGGAAAGGAAGGGGTTAGATGGCATGGGACTATAACCTCAATTAAGGGTAGCACTTCGTGAATTTAAGCTTAATATTTATTCTGACCAACTGTCACTGTCATAAAAATACAGAAGGAGGCAGGGAGAGGAGGAGAGAAAGGGAGTGAAAAGAATGAAAGATAATGGGTGGTATGAATAAAAATATGCAAGTACTCTTTGCTCCGAGTTTCCGAGGATTTACTCAGGTTTCGTATGAGATAAAGTGGGTAAGCAATTGCTCAGTCTCATGAGTATTGCTGTCAATTCTGAGCGTACTCTCAACTGTGTCAGAATTGGTATGAACAAAGTTAAGCGTTTACTCTCTAGAGATCAGCACTCATGCTCGCAAAATTTTCGAGGACCTTAGTAGCAACTCACGTGTTGAAAAGTAAGGTTAAAATTGGCCGGTTTTTTACCGCTGTGTTGATATGCATAAGCAACGGACTAAAAAAAAATGCCAAGATTAGGGCGAAATACTCGTGATGTATGATAGTTAGAATCTTTGCCGAATCGAAAAGTACAATGTATGGTTGGTCGGATTTTTATCGCGTTTGCTTTCAGGGCGTTTTTCATATTGCATATCTTCTATGTTAATTGGACATCGCTCTTTTCTACTTGGAATTTTTCGGGGTACTGCTTTTTGAAACTTTGTTATGTTTCGTTTCGGCCACAGCGTACTTCCAAAAGCTGGATCTTTTCAAAAATAATTTTATATTCACTTAGCATAAAAAAGGAATAGAACGTGCTTTTACAGATTCATCCCTCGACCCGCTCTTCAACAAATATAAACAATATTACTGTTAGTAATGCCCTAGAGGCTTAAAACGTATGCCCACAGACTAAAGATTTCTTCGACTACCACAGTAAGAAAATCAACAACCCCGCGGACTAGCCGCCTCTTTAATAAAAACTAACTACAAATTTTACTCTTCAATTATACTTATATAAAACAAAAATTTACACTCAATCTTTTTCAAAAAAGCCGTGTGCGCTACGCTATTATCGCGCCTGCCGCCTAGCGGCGATGCAACCCACCTGACGCCAAAACATCACGCAACAGGGGCCACGATGCCCCTCGCTCCCCCGGACCATACCCAAGAAGAACAAACGATCTTTGAAACAACTGTTGAGCACCCCAAAGGCGTAGACTGCTGCCAACATAAGAAACTAACAATTACTACTACTACGAAGGTTGCCTTTTATGTTTCGGGATTTGGCAACCTTAGTGTTGCAATCTGGCAACTGACAGCTCTATCGTAAAGTTGGATGTTTTGAGGTCATACGTACTCAGAACGTTTTGACATACCAGCGCTATTTGTGTTGTATACAGTAACTTAAAAGATTCATCTTCGCCCAAAAATGGAATTTTAAATCGTGAACATTTTCGTGCGATTATTTTTTACAACTTTCGACGTGGATTAACTCAGCAACAGTGCATGGATGAACTTAATTCAATTTTTGGCGATGAAGCTCCATCAAAGACCAGTGTTTATCGATGGTATGGTGAATTCAATCGTAGTCGTAGTTCACTCCAAGACGAATTTCGCGAAGGTCGTCCAAAATCAGCTGTTGTTCCGAAAACCATTGATGCTGTACGTGAACTGATATTGCAAGATCGTCATGTGTTCTATCGTGAGATTGAGATAATCTTAGGCATTAGTGTGACCAGCATACATTTAATATTGCATGAACATTTGACTGCCAATGACTGTCAATGTGATTTGTTCGCGTTGGATCCCACACAATTTGTTAACCGCTCAAAAAAAGACTCGTGTCGATTGGTCAAAAGAAATGCCCAAAAAATACGATCGCGGTGCTTAGAAACACGTTTATGACATCGTGACAGGTGATGAATCGTGGATTTACGCGTATGAGCCCGAAAGTAAACAGCAGTCGACTGTATAGGTGTTTCAAGATGAGCAAAATCCAACAAAAGTTGTTCGCGCACGAAGCACCTCCAAACAGATGGTCGCCTGTTTTTTCAAAAAAACTGAACATGTCGCAACCGTACCACTAGAACAAAGCAGAACAGTCAATTCAGAGTAGTACACAACGATTTGTTTGCCAGCTGTCTTCCAAGAAATCAGGAAAACCAATCGCCGAAGACGGATCACTTTTCAACACGACAATGCAAGCTCTCACACATCGATTCAAACAACTGCATTTTTGAGCACCCAAAACATCGTTTTGATGAGTCATCCGCCGTATAGTCCTGACTTGGCACCGAATGACTTTGTTTTTTACGTACAGGAATAAAAAGAACTGAGAGGTCAACGTTTTTCGACACCTGAAGAAGCGGTTGCTGCATTCAGAATGTAAGTTTTGGAGATACCACAATCAGAGTAGCAAAAGTGCTTTGACTATTGGTTCAAACGCATGCAAAAGTGTATAGATCTTCATGGGGAATATTTTGAAAAACAATAAAGTGATTTTCGATGATTAATATTTGTTTTTGTTCTCTAATCCAGAAATATAAAAGGCAACCCTCGTACCACCACCACCAGTTGAGACATGTTCTTGCTATCATTGCAGATACGTCTCCACTCTGACAGAAGAGTTTTCTTCTCGAGGCAGCAGATATATTCCGTTTCTCAGATATAGATCGATCTTCGCAACCGACAAAAGAGCTTATAGTCAAAGGAAACGAAACGCAAAAGGGATTTCATTCAAATATTGTTTTAGTAACTGCACACTACATATTCGAGATTCAACGCAAGACGTCCCCACGTACAAATTCCCCATTCCGTAGTTCCAATTAAAAATGTTATTAACTTCCTCTCTGTAGATATGTGTGTGTGTGTGTTCCCAGTGATGCTTACAGAGCAACATGCGTTAAGGGCATTGTTAATAATAATTAATATGAATGTACATTTATAAATTATCCACAGTCTATTGTTATCTATTGGATTAATAAATAAACCGAAATTATTATTTTACACACGCACACACGCGCGCGCGCACACACACACACGATATATATATATATATATATATATATATATATATATATATATATATATATATCCTCTTTTTATTTGAAATAACTGCATGTAAAAACAGTATTACCTGACACGAAAAACCATATGATTCTTCTTTAGTTGTAAATTCAGGAACCGACCATTTGTTTTGGGCACATACATTGTAGATTTGCGACACATACGAATTCCCATTTTGAACCAAAGTCCTGGAAGTTTCATTTCCGTTCTTTTGCCATGCATTCTTTGAAGCTGAAAATCAAAGGAAGGGTAAACTACAGTAATTAATATTTAAAAAAACTACAAACTAAAATGGTGAGCAAAAACAAGAACACAGTGAATAGTATTGACTACTTGTCACGGAAAACTATTTTACAATGAACTGTGAATAGATACGACTTTCGTAGATTTTACTCATTCTTATCTTTAAGGCTTTTAAACGTGTTTGAAAATTGTTTTCCCGCAGATAGAAATATTCTATGATTTAAAGAATTGTGTATAAGAGAAAGGACAATCAATATACATCAGAAATCTCCCTTCTTTTGTAGCAGAGGCGAATCAAGACCCACCATACCACTTGGATCTGGAACCAATCAGAATACGGCACTCAGGTTGGCAATGACTATATAGGACAACAAGAATCTGGCACAGTTGTTAGATCGGTTACTGCTGCTACAATGGCAGGTTATCATGGTTAAAGTGAGCTTGAACATGGTGTTATATTAGGAGAGATGCGGCATAGCATCTCCGAGGTGGTAATGAAATTTGGATTTTCCCGTACGACCATTTAACGAGTGTATAGTGAATATCGAGAATCCGATAAAACATCAAACTTCCAGCACCACTGCGGCCGCAAAACGATCGTGCAATAACGGGAAGGACGACGGCTGAAAAGAATCATTACACGTGACAGAAGTGCAACCCTCCCTCAAATTGCTCCAGATTTCAATGCTGGGCCATCAACAAGTGTCAGCGTGCGAACTATTCAACGATACATTACCGATATATGGTTTCGAAGCCGAAGGCCCACTCCTATACTGCACGACCCAAAGCTATACGCATGGCCAGCGCCCGACAACACCGACATTGGATTGTCGATGACTTGTCTGACGAGTCTCGTTTCACTTTGTTTCAAGAGAATGGATAATGGATCATTGTAGGGATGGCGACTCTCATGACTCCATGCACCTTGCATATAACATAAGGGGACTGTTTAAGCTAGGCGGCTCTGTGATGGTTCGGGGATGTAAGTTGGAGTGGAAATACGGATCCTTGTTAGGTCTAGATACGATCCTGACGGCACGTACGTGCATCCTGTCTGATCATCCCTGACCAACCATATCTGGTGTATACCCGAGGGACTTAGAATACCGCCAAGAAATGCGACCGCCAGGTCAATTTCAGAGTGGTTAGGACATTTTGGAATAAACATTTCACTGACC